TGTTGTTAGTAATAGTTACCACATTTTGTGGTCACTATTTGTTCGGGACACGTTAAACGCATCGTATGGGATGGACATAAATTAAACGACAATTCCATTCGTGTTTGCTGCAGTACTATAAGCTAATTACGAGTAACAGATAGTTCCTAGTTTTTATTTATATATTTACTTCATACTGCAATATGTGAAATTTATCAACGAGGTGGCTTTAATACTGTTCTTTCCTAATAATAACATATAATGTATGTATAGTATATTAATTACTACACTAGTCGTTATCCTCAACTCTGTCTAGCTAAAAAAAAATGCAAAACTTTTAAACGCGTTAGGCGAAACGCCTCCCACTCGCACGTAATGATGCTAAGTTACAGAATTGGAATAAAAAAAGTAAGTTACTCATTATTACTTCAGCTACCTGCCGATAAAAGTCTCGTCAAAATCAGTCCAGCCATTACAGAGATTAGCCGTAACAAACAGACACAAAATTAAAGGAAAATGTTATTTTTGACTATGTAAAGTACCTATATTATATATAGTTATAGTAAAAAAGGGTAATTTCAATATTATAAACAGAAACTCCGATTTAATTTATGTGTATTAAAGATACACATTTTAGGTCATGACAATTATAAAAATTATATCTCTATCATCATAAATAGACAATATATTTTGGGAGACATATAAACTTATCCAATAACAAATTCATTTATGATTTTTTATGAAGATAATAAAAGTTTTCAACTAGTGTGTATATAATTTAGTAAACTTTCTTGAATAATTGGCTATTACAGATGATTTAACAACAAAAATGAAATATTCTCTACGGCTTTATCAATTCCCTTTTTATAGAGATTCCATTAAAAATGTAACCAATAAAATCCATTTACTCTGATGTCACTGAGATAGAAAATAAAATCGTTTGAAACATGAAGCCACAACAGACAGCGACAGTTAGTAGTGTAATCTCAGCCAAATGTCAAACGTTCAGTCTAAAGAAGATATGATATTTACATATACTATTGGGAGAATAAAAATAAAGTAATTTTTACGAACAAAAAATTATTATTATTATCACTAAAACATGTGTCTATGAAGAAATGAAGTTTGATATTTACAGAGAAATTACTACTGTTTGTGATATAGAAAAGTCAATGATGGAAATGAAAACAGGTGATATTTGTAAGATACATTTATACATTAATTAATTAAATTAATAAAATACATTAATTAATTGTTATTAATATATAGTGAGATAACTTGAGATTATAAGGCTTTCGCGAGTATTCATTTAACATCACATCTCATCTGCCCGTGATCACGGTTGCTGAAAAGTAACTGAAACGTCGGGAGTATGTAGTTTTTACAAAAATAAAATACTCGTAGTATATACGAAGAATATTAGAATCATTTAAAGAAATAAATAGTTTTTAGTATGTAATGAAAGTAAATTGAATTGTAACGACACATAATATAAAAGATTATAGCATCGTAAATCTAATGTCTGCTAGTTCATGTTTAAGACGTCTCATATTTTAAGACTTTATTCATGATGAGAATGTACGAAGACTTCATTCACCAGCACTTTATAAAATTACTATTAATGAGATGAAAATATTGAACTACACGACTTAGAATAAAGAAGTTATGTGTTACATACATGAAGAACAATAATCACTGTTATTAACTATTAAAATGTTGTACAGATGGTTTATTTTACTATACAGGGTGACTGGTGAATTACGAATTAATTAATTGACGATCTTATATGACAAAATAAAAATTAATATAACATAAATATTAATAAACTTCTAAGTAAAGTTAACCAAAAGTTATGTAATTAATTACGCATCGTGTGAACACCCTACAGATTAGGTATACACTCACACACACATACGCGTGCGGCGGCGTAGTGTTGTATCAGCACGCCGCCGCACTCGTCCACACTTGGAACACTTGGAACGTGTCAACGCTTTATTTATTTATACGGAAATTTTGTCAAAAATTAAGTGCCTATTTTTTTTACATAATTCGAATGAGAATCGTGTACCGAGTATTCTCCTTAAATATTGATAGTAATTCACCAGTCACCCTGTATACTATTTTATTGTAAATCGGTTAAGATTCTTTTCATCTTTCGAACTAAAAAAATATGATGTAAATATTTGTACTTCACAAATTCCTTTAACTAATTTAAAAAGGTTTGGCCTTTAGCCTTCGATTTACGTAACTGATGTATTTTCGCTTGATCGCGCAAAATTAAAATTTGTTGAAATAATCAATATGAATTGATTTTTCTAGATTTGGAAGATATTAAATTATAATGTAAAAATAATAATAGAGTAACCTTTATATATAATCTTATGTGTACACGTCTCACAAATATACATAAAAAATATTATATAATTTCAGAATATAACATTTATCAACAGTTTTATTACTTCATTTTAAATTTTAAGTATGACATTGAACAACATTATCAAGTGAAAGAAAAACTTACGGCGTATTAGCTTCTAATAAATATTGTATTATATTGTGTTTAATAGAGAAAATAGGAGTGATTCCCTGAAGAGCAATTTATTTGAAGGACAGTTTATCCGCATAGTATTTTTACCCGCACCAAATCGCTCGTTACAAGCATTAAGAAGTAATTTTGTTCATTTAAATCTTTTTTATCTGGAATTGAACGCAGTAACATCATGCAATGTTATTAAGTGCTTTTAGATAAAGGGTTAATAACTCGAATACTTAAAAATTGTTACACACTGTTAGTAAAACAATTTGGAAATTTTTATATGGTTAAGTCAGTGGTTTAGAAGAACATGTTGTGCCGACCCTACATAATGTGGACCACGACCGGAAAAAGGAGAATAAATTTTAATATGATTAATAATATCGTAAATATTTTTAACTTTAATCCATTCCTAGTTGAGATTTAAAGTTTAACGAATTTCGAAAAATCGGTATTTCACTGGATTATATGTACGAAAGTTCAGGATAGTCAACTGAATATAAAATTGAAGAGAATCACTCCATAAAATAAATACAGGACGGAATTAATTGAATTTAACAATAAAAGAATATTTAACGATTCGCTTTAAGGATTATTTGAAAATTATTTAAAATTTTAATTCATTCGGTGGTAACTGTTAAAAAATGGTTATTTTTGATCCAAATTAATCCTTCATTATACTCAGTCCATCATATTATAATTATAAAGTGTAATAGTTTATATTTTCTATAATTATATCAGACAAAAACATTATGTACTACTAGCAGCTACCCGCAACTATGTCTGTGTAAGAAAAATAATACGAAACAATGAAAAAACTTTTTAGCTCCGTATGCGCCCTGCCTCTACTCCCACTCGCGCGTTATTACGCTTAATTTCGGGACTAAGATTAAGGATCATGATAAAAAGTACCGCAAGTTCATCTTATTACATCAGCTACCAGCCAATAAAAGATCTGTTAAACGCGTTTAAGCCATTTTAGAGATTAGCCGAAACAAATAGACAGACAAATTTTTAAAGATGTTACTTTGGTGTATGCACCATATACAATATATGTACATACATATTCACATGCTTTAAAAAAAAGGTTGTTTCAAAATATAACGAAATGTTTTAGATTTCAATACAATAAGATAAAGGAACGAAAATCTGTTAAAACCGAATAGATGTGTTCATACAATAGTGAACCAGCGTGAAAATGAACTCGACTCTGAAAGATTTCGATAGTCGAAATACTGAATTTAAAAATATTTACGGTTGGAACTGTACCCAGATGGAGGCGGAATGCATTTTGCTTTAAGCTATTTGAAATATCTCGACAAAAACTTTCACGATTTTTGAAATTTTCTTAATAAAAAAAGGATAATCTTCAATAAAAGCAATTATTTAATTCGAATATTATTCACATTATTTTTGATTATTATTTCCTATATATCCATATATGAAACATTAAATTTTCGTCAAAGTTTTCAAATGTAATGAACCATCTAATGAGCTCGACTTATACAGACAATGAATTCATCTGGAAATAAGTAATTTGTTAGTAGAGCGAATTACGTGAATGTGAGTTTGAAATTAGTTTGAAATCATTTTATTATTGAAACGAATTTAAAGAGACATATTATAAGTTTTTGCATTTTTATGTCATTGCTATTATATAGTGGTAAAATAAAACTCAATTATGGTTCTTCAATTATTATTTTTTAAGATAAAGCCCAAAGAATAAATATAAAAACTCGGTAGTATTAAGAAGTTTTAACATAACATATCCTTTCAACATATTTTTGCGGCAAAGTTAAAGTTGAAGTTATGGCAGAAAATTAATACTTTATACAATTTAAATTTGTCTCATTTTAATTAAGTTTTCTTCTAAAACGAAAGTAAAAATATTTTGCAGAAGTTGAAGGTTTATCGAAAATCTCAAATTTAAGTGTAATTTGGTGCCCTTAAAAGTGCTTTTCGTAACTGATCTGATAATTGATACATCATTATATTTTATGAACGGTTCCAGGCTAAAGTTGAAGATAAAAAATAATATTGGTAAAGAATGACCAAAAAGCTAAATAAAAAAAACCCTAATAAGTCTTAACGATCTTTGACTGAGAATTTCACAGTTTCAAGAGTACCGAAAACTTTATATTATATACTCCAGTATCACTCCAATTATCCCACATTCAAAATAATGAATCGACTAAAGAAAAGTGTGTGAACAGAAAAGTTTACATTTTATTTACTTTCTTTATAATAAAAAATGTTTATAGCACTAAAAATAAAAGAAATGAAGATATGAATTCAAAGAGATTATAATATAAATACTGATTAAACTCAGTATAGCAATCGAGTCACCTCACATATGTAAATATTGAGGTAAGAAATAAAATGCATACTTATAACTTATAAGTGATTATTTCATCCAATAAACACACACTGACATTTACAATATTAAATCAGAATTATATATGTACATGGTATATAGTATTAATATACTTACTTGTGGTGGACTCTTGACGTAGTATTCAGTGTCATTTATAAGGAGCCTAAAGTCATTTTCCAGTAATGACTCAACGGTGTCACTGGCTGCAATCCTCACGCGTTCATCCGCTGCCAAAGCAACCGCGCGCTCAACACCACGGTCTTCGGCTTTAACCTGGGAGATTTAGTTTGGATTATGAACAGAAATTGCTCAGGAATTAAAGATTACTTCAGCTTCTATTTGTAAAATTGGGAAAATAAATCTTAGCGAAAGTAATTGTCAAGAAAAACGTGATTCTGAAATATATGGAAATATAATCCGCTGAATATATTGTATAGGTTGGCTCTGATAAGAAAGTGTGTTAGAAACTATAGTTTAACATTCGGAAGTGAGGAGGCTTTTAAAGGAGAGAAGTCATAATTTTTTTGTATTATATCGGTTCAAAATTTGTACGAGTAAAACTAACGTACTATATATTACAATTTGTGGTACATATATTACTAAAATTATATTCTAACAGGCAGACCAAAATAGATGTACTCTGAAATATGTACTTAATAAATAAATATATTGAAATTTACCACCGAACTTTCTAAATCATAATATATAATCATATTAATAAATCCATACTATAAAAAAATACTTATCAATCACCAAACATCACAACCAACAGACGGTTTATGAGACCTGTTAGTAGTTAACGAGAACAGAACCGTTTTTCGGTAAAGCGAAATATAAGTTACACCGACCTGTTCTAAGAGATCCCCCACGGTCTGCGACACCGGTCTTAATGTAAACCTACAACGTTCACGTCTTGACGGCAGAGGCACCGTTATCACAGGCAGGCCACGGCGATATGTCACTAATACTTCTGTAACAACAACATTACTGTTAAAAATACGATCATACGAGGAGTTCGGTTATATCGCGTTGCCAAGAGAATCTTTCAAAAGTCTGGGATAAAAACTATCCTGTTCTTTCTCAAGGCCACCTCTATCTCTGTGCCAAATTTCATTAAAATCAGTTCAGTGGTTTAGGCGTGAAAGCGTAACAAACAGACACACAGAGTTACTTTCGCATTTATAATATTAGTAGGGATTACTGATATTAAAATATGTATGAGTTACGACACCACTTAGGATTTAATTGCATCTAATAAGATCATGACTTAAAACAAAATAACTTTAATTTAACATTTACCAAATAAATTAAATATGTTTATAAAGTCTAAAATAACATAAAAACTGGTATTAAAGTTTTAGAATGGACAGACTAAGCTCCAAGAAAAAATGCAAGAACAAAATAATTTCTCAGACAATGAACGTGTTTCGCATTTCCAATTCTATAGTCATGTCGCAAGGTACATTTTCGTTTGTAAGAGATTTTAAGGAAGAGAAGGTGGAAATATAATTTTATAGAGCACATTTCTTCTTGTTTTTTTTAATAATGCAGGAACAAAACTGTAAAGCTTTTATCTTTCAAAACAGATGTTTTTTAACAAATGACAGCATTATTATTGTCATGTAAAATATAAATATATATCTATAATTAAGGTGTGAACAAAATCTATATAAAAATTTATACTTTTTTTAAAACGATATTTTACTATAGGCTTATGAAAATATATTTAAATTTCCAGGCTAATGTACTGATAGAACTGAGAGCTCAGACTGTCTACTGATGACGTTAACAATTTAGATAAATACGCAATGCGGCAAATAAAGCTGCAATTTATGAAATAAAATTTCAACAATGTATGGTGCTAAGTATTTTTTATAAAACTGTATATTTATTTCATGCTATTCATGCTCAAATTTACGTTTATTAAATAAAACAAAACTGGTACGTTCTATTACACGAACAAAAAAATCAAAACACTTTCTATTTATGCAAAATAATTAAATTATTTGTATGATATCAAAACATCAGTATGGTGTATCTTAATTAAAGAGTTTCATAGCGCGGACGCAGCCTGATTCCTCGCTCCACTTGCCCGCTCGTCTGTGGGTACACTTTGCTTCATAACAGTTTACAATTAACATATCAATCGTGTAATTTAACCAATTATATTACTAAGGGCTGCACTTTGAGGAAATTTTGTGGCCAAATTGCTCTGGTTGCATACTAATATATAGAGTAGATGTGTTAATCACTCCATTGTTTGTTTACGTTTGGGTTTAAAATTACTATATGTGTATTATGAATTAAGTATAATATATAAGATTTAGAAAAATACTTCTTACCTTAAAAAAATTATAACGAGAAAAAGAAATTAAACAGAATTGATTATTTATCGTACTTCGCAACATCTTCCAACTTTATGCTATTAAATCTCAATAAAAAAACTAATCATAAAATTAATTACAATAGCAATTTATTTAGAATATTATACTGTTTTAACGCTTATGTTGTTATCAGTACTTAATACTCCTGAACTTGAGTAGGGATCATTTGAAAGATGTTGTTAAAGACTGGAACATAAATGATAAATTTCAGATATTATTTAGTCCCTTATACAAACATGTATATATAAATGACTGGGTCAGTGGTGGCCTAGTGGTTAAAACTCCCGCCTCCCATGCACGAGAGGTCGGGTTCGATCCTGTCAAGTAACAATGTGATTTTTCCGAGTCATATGTACTTTCTGAGAGTATTTAGACATCACTGATTAATGCATTCCCAAAGAGGGTTGATATCAGGCAGGCGACCAGTCGTAAAAACAATTAGTCAAAACTATTCAGAACATGTAAGGCAGACCCTGGCTAAAACTGGGAAATTGCCAGGAAGAAGAAGTATATATTAATGGCTGTTATGTTAAAAATTTCCTAATATAACGTTTATTATCTAACTAATTTCATCTTAAATTAGACACACGCACGATGACTAAATAGTGTCCATGGTCAGTCGGCGCGTGCGCAGACAAAAGCGGTAATTACCCCCTCGCTTTCCTTACGTCTTACATATCAAACTTTCTTTTCGTCTTCATTTATCTAACTCATTATTTACACTAAAATCTGATCATTTTTTGTTTTTTATAACGTTCTCTCCTCTATATCATAATTATATGTTACGTGTCTTGGTGCTAGCCGTTTAAGTGAAAAATACAATATAATTACGAACATTAAAACATTGATCAATGAAAAAAAAAATAATTAAATAATTTTAGATGATTTAAATTGTTTATGCAATGAACGTTAAATTCGTTACAGGTATTTTATTTTGAAGTAGTTAAATTTTGTTGGATGTTTTGGTATTTTCAAGAAACATTGCTTGAATAAAATTTTAGTTTTTAACTCAAAATTCAAACTACTGCATAAAGTTGGATGGTCTTTCATAATAAAACATTTACTATTACAATTTCATACAATAAAAATTATGTTATTTAACAATTTAATACGGTCTATTACCCGATTGTAGAAATAATTTAAAAAAGTCTTTAAAAAATATTATTTTTTAAACGTTTTACAATAAAACAATCGACCAGTACTTATATAAAGCTATATAAAAGTTTTTTACATAAAAAACATCTTCACAATCAAGCATTAAAACGGAAATTGGAGGAAACCCAGAAGTCGTAAACCCGATTAATGATGCCATTGTTCAAAATTAACCCGCCGCTTTCACAGGGAAGATACTGGAACTTCAGATATTAAATTTAAAAAAATATTTATTTAAACCCTCATGAATAATTGTCTGTTTTCAGCAAAGCATTTTTATGGCAATATTGTATTTATAATGACGACAATATTATTTTTAATCAATGTTTATTTCAATCAAATAGAACTTACAAAAATTTTTCTTCACTTAAAATCATAGACTTAAATAACATGTATTATAAATTAAGTAAAATATTTTAAATGTTTGAATATTTTTTATCATTATCATATATTTCACTAGGAGCTTAAGAATTTCCATTCGACGACATTTCCATCATTAATTTTCAAGCAATCAATCAAGAGCTTACCAGTTGGAAGCATAAATGCATATTCATCGACATATTTTAATATATAATCCTGCTTTGAATTTATTATAATTTAAAATGTGTTTAAAATTCATTTATCAATATTCGTGTGCCGTATAAAACAATGTACTTTATACGTTTATTACTAGCCATAACTTTCATTAAATAATAAATTTATGTAGAATGATTAAAAATTCTTCATAGTTAATCACCGTTACATATTGGACATCTAAATGTTTATGTATTAACAATCTGTATTCACTCTTATTAGTGGTGGCTTAGCGATTAAACGCCCGCCGCTCATGCATGAGGGCGCGGGTTTGATCCTGGCAAGTACCAATGTGATTTTTCTGAGTCATATGTACTTTCTAAGAGTATTTAGACATCACTGATTAATGCATTCCCAAAGAGAGTTGATGTCAGGGAGGCGGCCGGTCTTAGAAACAATTAGCCAAAACTATTGACAACATATAAGGCAGACCCTGGCCAAAGCTGGGAAATTGCCAAGTAGAAGAAGAATCTGTATTCACTCTTAACTTTAAGTTAAATTTAATGTGATTGTTTATTGGAAGCATCAATATTTATCATCGAGAAAATTATTCATACAACTTAAAGACTCCTACTTTTTTAATATTTCCCAGGCGTAGCGTACTAAGCGTTCCTAGATCATAAAACTATAATCTTCTATATATATAAAAATGGATTGCTGTTCGTTAGTCTCGCTAAAACTCGAGAACGGCTGAACTGATTTGGCTAATTTTAGCCTTGAAATACTCCTGGAAGTCCAGGAAAGATTTAAAAGGTGAGAAAAATTGGAATAATTCCCGGGAAAACCCTAAAAACAGCCCTTTTCTATTTCCCATACAAACGTTTTTTTTGACATTAGATTTGACAACTAACTAATATGTCAATCATTCTGTTTGATTGACACAGGAAAAACCTGATTTTTTATGGCCTCTAAGACGGAATAGAGTTCGCCTGGTCAGCTGTACCTACATATATTACTCTTGACCAAACTAACGCGGACGAAGTCGCGTTCAAAAACTAGTCTATAATAAAACAAATAGTTAGACGTTTCAATATTAAATAATTGATTAGTTAAAAGAAAAACTATATACAATAGTACAAAACAATATTGAAGAAGTATCTTTCATATTCATCAAATAAATGATGATTGAAAGAACTGTTGAATATAAGTAAATGTTATAATCTATTTTAACGCACAATATTTTTTTCATGTGTGTTAATAGTCGTTTCATATTTTTGTCGGTTGATGTTTGATTAAATATACGGAGGTCATTAAAAAAGGGTTTTATTTCATCTTTTTTAACAACAACTATTATTCCGAAATTATCTATAGGCCCTGATTTTGCCCAATTAAATCATATAACTAATGTTATTTTCAATTTTCATCGAAGCATTAAAATTAGATTCATACGAAGCGTTATCGTTAAAGTGTTGAAGCATGCTTTTGAGTCTGAAACGATAGGTGCACAGTCTCTATGAATCAATACTGTTAAATGCGGGCTAATCGGTAATTTCACCTACCACTTAGTTCAATGTTTTTCATCAAACGTAAGATGAAACTTGAATTATGTTATTTTATTTAATAGGAATTCTTTAAAATATAATTAGACTAAAGAAGACTTAAAATAATTAAAAAGTAAAGAATAAAAATTCATTACTACGAGTATTGTCATGCAAGGGTAATAGAAATGTATAAAATATTGTTGCTTGTGGGTGAAAAACCAAACCTTAGTCTTAAATTTGACAGACGACATTTTAACTTAATTAAGTTAAAAGCCTCAAAATTTTCTTTCTAAGATGTGACAAATGAAGGACAGAGATTGAGGTAAAAATATACAACAGATTCATTTGAGACTTAAATCTTTTCAATAATTACAGAAAATATAGGAAATTAAAATCACTATAATGATAATGTCAAACCCATTATGAGATTAGATCTGGCTGCAAAGTAACCGAAACGTCGGCTATATGTAGTTTTTTAAAATAATAACGTACGCTTAGTAATCCGAAAATATTAGTTTCATTTTTTTACTTATTAACCCATTAGTTTCAATATGTACTTAATTTAGCTAACCGAATTTCATAATAGATATTTTATCAAAGATTTTTACGAAAATCTGCTGGATAAATAAAACGAGAGTTCAAAGTGAACATTTCAATGGTTTACTGACACTATTCAAAACTTTTATAACCTTCCGCACTGTTCCTATCGACATTGGATATTGCAGATGTTTTTGAAAATATATGCAGACCGAGCTCTAATCCTACGCTGAATACTGAATAGAATCCAAGCTTTTATATAAACAATATCATTCTCGTTGAAGAGAAATATAACATTTTCTTTAGTGAAATTATTGCGACAAATAAAAAGATTTATCTTGTAATTTAAAACACTTCATTTTGCTATATTTTGTTCATAGAGGATTACTCACAATTATTAAATTTTTCGAGCAAATATTTTAACACTAAAGGAATTTTTAGGAATAAGTGATAAAGCGATTAAGTCAGTGGTGGCCTAGTGGATAGAGGGCCCGCCTCTCGTTGCCGAGGGCGCGGGTTCGATCCTGACCCAGGCAAAAGTACCAATGTGATTTTTCCGAGTCACATGTACTTTCTAAGAATATTTAGACACCACTGATTAATGCATTCCCAAAAGAGGGTTGATTTCAGGCAGGCGGCCGGTCGTAAAAAAAAATAATTAGCCAAAACTATTCACAACATGTTACGGCAGACCCTGGCTATAGCCGGGAAATGGGCAGGTAGAAGAAGAAGGGATAAAGCGATTGCCAGCCTACTTTGGTGTTACCGTCGACATAGAATGTGACTTTTATCTTGATTTATAATAACTTCAAAACACATTCAATTCTCTTTTCGGTTATTCTTATATGCCATGAGAATGTCTACTTAGTGTCAAAAATATTTCCCATTTACTTTTCGTGTTCAGAGTTAGTACGTATCACAAATGGTTAAAAAATAAAATATTCCAATGAAACAAATAGAAGTTGGGCTTTTATTCATTGAAGTAAAAATTTGCAAAACTAAAAATTATAAATGGTTTCAGATATTTTATTGTTTCATAAAGAATATTACATATTCACTTAAATAAAACTTAAAACTAATTTAAAAATTATAAAGTGAGTCATAATAAGATATAACTTGATATATACATACATATATTTTACTTTTATAAGTGATTCAAATGTTTAACTTTTTTAATATAAGTAAATAATGAAAAATTATACATTACTTAATATTTTTAAAATATATCTCTTTATAAAATAATTTTTGTACCATCACAATTAGACCAATATGACGTTTAATATAAATGAACAATATTAGATAAAATTTTATTAAGTTTTTTCTAATAACTTTTTAGAGAGAAAATTCTTTTCTTTTTCTTTTGAGAAATATTTATAACGACTTAATTATTCCTTTCTTACTAAGTTACAGTTTAAAAACCTAAAATCAATACTTTGATCGAGGTAATGAAACTTGTCAAGGAAGATTTGTGTACTATGTGAATATTTTTCCAAAATTTCTTATACATAAAATTTAATTTTGTAAGATTAGTCTAAAGTTATTTAAATATTTAGCATAAATCAGAAAAGAATACATTAGGACCCAAACTTTAAATTGGATTTAAATAAACTTTTAATCATAAGCTATAAGTATAAAGAGGATTACATCTATGAAGTCCCCTGCTTAAAGGCGACGACAAAATTACAATTCTCATATCATCATAAAATAAAATATACATATACACTAAATAATAACGTTTCAGGATACTTAATATAAGGTTAAAACCATATACATTTGTATCCAGGTGTTGTATTTGTATATACAACCAAAGTAATTTATCGTTCCAATAATTCAGCAGAGCTTTGTGGTCTCCCAACGAATTAGATACAAAGATGTTATAGTATAGTTAGACACGATTTCCATTACCTAGTTGCTTATTACTTCTAATTATTAATTCAAACTTAAAACAATTCACCATTTCTATTTATTATATTATTTTATGGAGAATTAATATACCAGAACTAAAAACTTCTATACATTTGTAATCTAAAACCTCAAAGCACTATAACAGATCTATATAAGCTGAATCATGAACATTAATCCGTTCCCCTACGATCAACAAACGGTACCAATGATTTACAACATCAATATAATCATTACAGTACATCTTTTACTTTCTAACATTAGAATATAACAATAGGTGCGAGTGGGATGAATTGTACGGAATTTATCCGCAGTACAAGTTACCTTATCATATGTTTCTTTTAGCTATTCACATAATTGATAACCACCACTTCTGTTAATTAGTATTTCATATATTTTTAAGTAAAATGGATCTCAAATTAAATTTAAACACTTAAATAAAGGCAAATATAAAAGACGTTCTAGAATTCCTGATGAGTTTCTAGTAAGTGTGATTGCTTTTTAACGTAATTATCGTAGTCGCTTTTAAATTCAATTATAGTGCTCTGTTTTAAGAAACTTAAATAAATACAATTATTCCTTTGAACTTATTAAAATATATAAACAGAAAATGCAAAATTATAAATTATTTCATATTCACAATTCTTAATAACGATAGAGCATATTCAATTTATTAGATAACAAAATATTGCAAAGTTACATTTTATTTCGCTAGATTATTATTATGTGTATATATAAAAACAAAAAAGGGATCCTTTTTCCATATACGTTGATTAACTTATCAAATAACAAAGGCTTTAAATACAAACGATACTGTTAAGAAGTTTAATAAATATAAGTATTAACGGACATCGTTAGACAATTAGAAGCAAGTAGAGCATGGTGAGGAGAACACCACGAATTACGTGCTAATTTTCTTAGCAACAGCTTCGACACTAACAAACTAGATATATTAGAAAACAGAATATCAACAAAACAAGATTATGCAATAAACTCAGACAAGCGAATTTCTTCGAAACGTTTTCTATAAATAACAAATACAAGGAGCATGTCATGTTTTAATTGGCCTTAATAGAGATGATTCAATTTTTCGACCCCAAACACACGAGTCACGGGACAATTAAGCCGTGCAAGCTTGCGCCTGCGCCGGTACACTTCACATACACACCGCGAGCCATCGCGGCACAACGTGGTATATCGACACCCGACTCTGTGAAGTGCTTGCGGTCTGTGGGTTGCTTGGGGGTTGAGGGTTGTGGGTATAAGGGTGTCGGGGGTTGTGTCAGTGACTGTGTGTGGCATGGGTTAAGAATGGGAGCAGGACACAGTGCTGAAGGCGATGGCGCCACCAGCGATCCGCCCACCCATAGTCGTAGGAAAACTCATAATCGGAGGCGAAGGTATGTTCTATTATACATATTTATATAAAATTTTTATGCTTTAAATATCAATGAAATCGAATAAAAAGCAATACATCATAAGGATTTCTATTAGAAATTTTATGTTGAAACAAAACTCCTCGTTCATAGGATTGAACTAAATAAATTTGCTATGGTAAGTGAAAGGTGCTACGTACTACGTAGGGCAGGTGTATAACAACTGTAACTGAACATACCTTTATAAATAATAGTACAAACCATTCATGAATGGTGCATCTATACAAACGTTTAATGTGATCTCACTATTTAATATTAAGTTATGAATATCTGACAGCGTGGCTATCATTAACACTGTACATTTAACGTCACACTCTATTAATGACTCTTTCTTATTAATGCTCCGGTGGTGATACGCTTACTTTGAAGAACATAAAAAACATTGCAAAACGAAAATATGTATATGTTGCAATATTATATTAAATCTCTATATATATTTTAACTTACTATGTTCTGTGAAAAAATTTGAAACAATTGACATCAATTATCATATAAACTTAAACTTAATACAAACAAAAGTATTTTTTATAAGTAAAGAAGGTTACTTGGAAATAAATATTCATACTTTTTTGCCACTTACAAACATATATTGATTTTTATCTTTAAAATAAAATTTCGATACCTACATAGAATGAAACGTTCAAAGTTATATATATTTTATCAGAAAACAAATATGTTAGTGACACAACAATATAATTCTTTAAAGTTTAAAGTACAGTAAGTGTGAGAAATATCTTTATGCGAAACGTCTTTGAAACCAATAAGTTCTAAAGGAATTTATTATTTATGACAGGAATATTTTAAGTTAGTTCAATCTCAACGATATTGCTTTCACTACAGATGCTTGTCGTGTCACAGTCAAATATTCTTAGAATACATACAAGAACAAAGCTACTATAATTATTAGAAACATATTTTCATATCTATAATAATTTTAAAGGGAATCATCGTATAGTAATTAGAATTACGAAATAGCGCTAAAGCGTGCTCCAACGCGGATAATATTATTATAACATGAACATCCAAAAGCCGAGAACAAATATAATATAATTTTAATTCAAACAAATTCTCCCCCGCTTTCGTTCCTTAATTTTCAGAGTTGTACGAATATTATTCCTTTCATCTCAACGCCTTTGATGTAAATATATACGTACGATTATAATTGGATTAACTAAAATCATATCATCAATTAATATTATTAACAACTAGGTCAAATTCATATTAATTAAAATATTGAACCAACTACTAAACCGCTAAATGGTATGTTAATAACTGTATCCACTTAACAATCCTCTATAAATCGCTCTTAATGTACTGTTGATGGTGTTAAAGAAATTTCAACCCTACAACTTAGACATTAAGATGTTATTATTAATTTGAGTTCAATATACTTATTTCAGAATTCTATAACAAAAATTTAAAAATCTTGCTATTTTTGCATTCATTACAACAGATTTTTTCATTATATATACACACGTTTTTTTCTTAAATTTATAGCTAAGGGAATATGATTTCCCTTTAGATTCGTTTTCACGAATTTCATTTCCAGAAAGTAACTTTTTGAAGGAAGTATTTAGCTTTGCATGCCAAAATATTTAATTCCCAAATTATCTTACGTTCCGAAATTATTTGAATTGAAATGAAGTTTCTTTGAAAATTTATTCAGAAAACATACATACTTATCGTTTTAATTAAATACTATTAACCTACACTCTAGAGCACATTATCTCTATACTAATTGTTTCTTCTTTCAAAACAATATTTTTAAAGACTTTAAACCTCATCTATTATAGAACTCTCAGTCGAGACGTACCTATTACAGTGTAGTGTACTTCAGATCGAGATTACTCGAGAGGATAATGAAGTCTCAATGCTTTGGTTTCAAACTCCGTCTACTATAAATCCTTCAATGGTATTAGACTTTTAATTTAATAAAATGAAATTTACTTTACTTCATTAGAGAACTATTAAGTATAAGCAAACCGCCTCTTCTTCAATACATAGCTTTTTATATTAATTATCAATTCCTTTGTTACTGATTAGTGATAACTTATTAGTACTACTGATTACTTATTAGTACTAAGTCTGTGGTGGCCTAGTGGTTAAAGGGTCCGCCTCTCGTTACTGAGGGCGCGGGTTCAAACCTGGCAAGTACCAATGTGATTTTTCGGAGTCTTATGTACGTTCTGAGATTATTTAGACACCACTGACATAAGGTGAAGGAAAACATCGTGAGGAAACCTGGACTTATAGTTTCACAATTATAAGTTTGAAATCACCAACCCGTCTTGAGCAAGCGTGGTGATTAATGCTCAAACCTTCTCCATGTGAGAAAGAGGCCTTTGCTCAGCAGTGGGCGTTCATAGGCTGATTACTACTACTACTACTGATTATTACCGATTACTTATTTTTCAGCAATATTGTTTTAGCAACTAACAATATTATTATTAAAGCGTCCCTTCAAAAGCAATTATATTAGTAATGCAACAACCATACATTACAACACAAAGTTTCGACAACACGGCGATACTAAATTTAATTATACAAGAGATTTGTAACGCATATCATAACATCTCTATCATAATCTGCAGATGAATTTCAACTTTTGAATATTTTAACAATATTTCTATTGCAAACAACAGTTTTATGTAAAGATAATTATTTTAAATTGAATAAACCGATACCCCTTATTTAAGTGTTATTATTTTTATTATTACAGATGGGTATTGTATTTGAAATATTTGACTGAAAGTAGAATAAAATTATGACAATACAAGTATAAAGTATGGTTGCAAAGGAGTTCATAAGCTTGAGACGTTGTTCTTGACATAATTTGTACTCTCAGAGAGACTTACTAGAGTATTTTATATTAAAAAATGCAGCAGTGACTTTGAAAAGATAGCATGTTGTTATTAAACTTTTTAAAATGAAAATAATTTATATAACAAACCAGACTGCATGAATAATTTTATGTCAGGAAAAATAAGGTTTCATAGTTACATCAATTTAATATATGTATATAAAAAAAACCTACGCTTTGAGAGACGATTAATCGACCAATCACAGGTTTAAAACACCTTAAGTCATTTGAAAAAATAGTTAAAACTCTTATAATTCTGGACCGATATTAACTTAGCGTAGCTAAGAACTTTTCAAAGGAAATTGACTTTCAAAATAAAAACCGTAACGAAATCTGTTTGAGAATTAGGATGCCATAGACAGATGTAGATCGACGTCAAAATAACTACCATCTTCTTTTTGTACCGTTGCTTAAAAATAATTGAAAATATTAAGCTACTTAATAATCATAGAGATTTATATTATAGTATTCTATTATTAGGAATTATATTTCCTTCGTATTATTAGGAAATATAATTCCTTATATGATCGTACTGAGATCGTAAAGAGCAAGATGCGATTAGCGGCCGGTGATGAGACAACTAGAGCGAATCCTAACTGGAAGCGATCCGTTAGATATGGTTTTTAACATTACATCAATATATTACACTTATAATTACGATTACCGTTAAACATTAACAGACTTTAGTCCTCTCTATAACTAAGAAATTATACAATGTGTGTACATTAAAATTGTCATTCGTACCACGTTTAATGATCGAACGAGCATATAAAACGCATAAGAAAAAATAAACATTATCATCATCTTGTTTGCAAAATATATATATTATGTTAATTAAGTAAATAAAGTGAAAATGAAGGTAATTTAAATTTCCGCTTTCTAAACATCCTAATAGTAATCTGATGCATACGTGAGTTACATCTTCAACGTTACACAACTTTATATTTGCCCTAATATTATATATGTTTGAACATATGTAGTTTAATATTCAAATCATTTTACATAACAATTATTCATGTTTTTAAACGGATTTTTGATCGAAAACTGACGATAGAAGACTTTCATAAATCCTTTAGTCTACCGTCAAAGCGGTTGGCCACTTTATAGAAATTAACAAGTAAAATTTCAACAGCAAAAAATATTAATCTGGTGCGCTTCGAACATAGTAGAGTGGTTTCAGTGATAGCGGGTATTGTATATACATATAAAAGGATTTATTTTCCGTTCCGTTTTAAAGAAAATATTATTTTGAATTAAATATTGCTAATGTTAGTTACTAACCTTACAGATGACTTATGAGCAATTTAGAAAAGATCATACTTGTTGCCTATTTGAAAAAAACATTAAGAATAATAAATTTATGTTTATAAATTTTATAATATGAAATTTTGATATATTATTTTTAAAATCTGAATCAAATGTATTGACTGCATTATATGTATATTATATTAAAGAGTATTTTTATATATACTGGTAACTACCAGTATATACGCATTTACTTATCATCACCCGCTCGCAGTAAGAGCACCACTCATGATAGCAACTACCGGAGCGTGTTAACTTTGCGCGTTTCTCCACACTACATTTTTCTATCCCGATTCACGTGTAAACGTCTAAATCGCTTCACGCTAGCATTTTAACGAAATTAAGAATTAAATTACTATCATTACAAATCGATGATATAAAATATATCAAACAAAGTTTTGCGTGTCTAATATGTATGTTTAAATTTAAAATTGAAAATCCATATAATAAAGTGTGTCCTCTCGTAGTAAAAACAAAACTTTAACATTGAAATATATGAAAAATTGTGAAACTACAATCAATGTAACCTCTTCGTGATAAATAAATTTATTTATTTTTGTTTCAAACCGCTAATGTTTAAAGTAGGAAACAAATGAGGTCGGATTTCCTAAAATCAAGTGTCCGTGACGAAACCAACTTTAAGCCGCAATTTGCTGAACTTTTTTAAGCTTATGTCACTGTTTTTAGTTATAAAAAAGGTAGGCTTCCCATCATTACACTAAAATATTCTACTGTCCTGGGATTAAAACAGACATTTTTAATTATTAAATATTTTCAGTATCTTTTTATGCATTAGAACAAAATATTAAATCCATTTTTAAATTATGCATGATTTTTTTGTCTATAAATAAAGTAACTTAATTATATATTTTACAGTTTAAAACAATATTTTCTATACATATGGTTTTAATTACATTCTTAAATACATATATAATAATGGATATATATTTTGCAAAGGTCATGTCTCTATGAACACATATGTATATATATGTAGTTAAGAGTAAGGTCAAAATCTATTGTCAAATCTAATTGTCAAAGTTATAAGGTACAACTTTTTTAGAGAAGCACTTTGAAAGTCGTTCAAAACTTAAGCCTTAACTCTCTCTTGAGCAAACGAGAACACAAAAAGTGTAGTAATTAGTAAAAAAACTAAAAGTATTTCCATTTGATGTGTTCATACTCTCTTTTCGACTGTCATTTTCATGAAACTATTTAAAATCCATTTATTATTAATATAGAACTTAATTAGATTTAGATTTATTTATTTGTTTAACAATTTTTTAAACATATCAGAAACATAAAGGACAAAAGAATATAACACAGGAAAAATAAGTTTAAAAGGTATACTTATCCCTAGAAGGGATTTCTTCCAGTATACCCGGGAAGGGAGAAGTGTAGATACAGAACTTAAGGTAGACGGAAAAATCGAACAAAGGATAAAAGATACAACAAAAAAACAAAAAGAAAAAAAACATAAACTAATACTAAACAAGAAGAAAAAGAAAAAAATAATAATAATAATAACAAAAAAACATTAAAATTAATTTTACTTAAAAATATATATTAAAAGATAATTATACATACATAAACTAATATAAGATTTATTATAATTAGCTCACAAAATTTTATTATTATTATTGTTTAATCATGATGGACGTGGTAAACGTTTAAATGGCATTTAAGCAATATTCCGTCGTAATAACATCGGAGCCGTAATGGCTTGGCCGACCTAAGGGTATTACGTAAGTCACCTATCTAAGCCTTGTTAAGTTGTAGATGTTCAGGACATAAGTGACAACACTCTAAGCTCCTCGTTTTGGGTTGTCATAAACATCACTCTTGGATTTAACGGGCGTTAAACTACCCTCATTAGTAACCAAGACTACACAAATGGATGCTACACTAAATTTAACACTCGATATTTTTTTAGTATTGTCATATAAACGACGTAAACAAACTGTACTTAGCCAAAGTAATAGACAATTTTAAAGTATTTTTTTGAACAACATGCAACGTCGCTTCAACAGCTATTGGTATATAACAAGCTCTTCACAGAACAAAAACGAATGTATAATTTATACGTTGAGAGATATTGAATAATCATTTCAAAGTTAAATTAAACAATCAACTTTAAGCGGAGTTTTATGCTAGTTAAACTTTTTTTGAACTGCATCATCTGTCATTGACTATTCTTAGTGGCATACTATCTGAAAATATAAAACTTTTAAGTGCATTAGTTCCGCATGATTTTATATAAAACTTTGCTTGAGACACATAATATCTGAAATTATGACATTGTTAGTTACATTGTATTAAAATATTAACAGTAATAAGTATATACATGTTTGTTTTATAGCCGTGCAGTTAGATTGACCTACTTAGTAATTTTATCAGTCACGCTACGTCAAAGTAAATATTGTTAGGTAAATTAATTAAAAACTGCATAAAGTATAATATTCTTTAATCATTTGTTATATCTGAAAACTAAATTTTCATTAAGTACATATGTTTCTTATAGGAGTTACACGTCATTCAATGTTTTTAATAAATGTATTTCAAACTGAAGTTTAAATTGGTTTCGTTTAAATCTACTACTTCATTAAAGTTACTAACTTATTTTATATAAATAGTGTATACGATCATCAGCAGTTTGTATATAGGAGTAAGCTGTAAGCTGGCTCAGGAAGTAATAACAATATAAGTGACTGGATTTTAGGTTCTCAGCTTGGTAATATTGAGCTGGAAAATGACGTCACACATCCTAAAATAATACTATATATATTTGTAGTAAATATAATAGCACAACGTTTCTTACATACTGAACTTCAGGCATTATTCTTATTTACAAAAGTGTATGTATATATTTATAATCACAAATCAAAAATCTATTAAATTACTGCCATTATTATCAACGAAATTCAATTTCGTCAACAAATTTTGCCACACGTAATTCAATTTAATTATAATATAAATTCTCCGCCCGAATGACGACCCCTGTCAGATTTATTTAAGCAAATTTATTAAAATGAACGTGTTATCAATTTTAATTTTATGATTCAGAAATAATATGAAAATCAAATATGTTTAACATTTAATGCATGCTCAATTCTCTTCATTATCCCTCTTATTAAATAATTGTTTTTATAACTGCCACTTAGCCATTGTAATTGATACATATTAATGTAGGAAGAATATGTATGTTCATGTTAAAATCTTTAATTACGATCGAAGCAGGCACAGGTTCATAATTGGATCAACACAAGATCCTTATGGGAACTTCAATATTCACGATTGGGGACAAGGGCTTGCGAGAGCTTATTATGATACACTATGTTTTGTATACGACTTTGTTCGTATATATGAATGGTTTATTTATATTTATTATAAATGAAAATTTTCTAAACATATTTGAGTCAAGATTATAGTCATTCTAATGAATAAAAAGACTTAACTTTTCCGAAGAGTTAGCATTCATTCGAAATATCAATAGATCATATATTTTCATTATATTCTATTTAAATATATTTTTTTATCTGATTAAATACATTTTAATAAAGGTTTTCGTTTACAAATACGCACCTGCCCTTAAGAATGGAATGTGACGCTCGGCTTCCTGTGGGTTGTAATGGGAAATTAAAATTCAAGACAAAAGGGCCTTTTGGGTGTTATTGTTTTGCATACATATACTATACACTCCTCGATATAAATTGGATTTTAATTAAAGAGAATCACTTGTTTTGATAAGCAAATTATAAAGTATATTATCGTCTTAACTAGAACAATATTTTCAAATAACTCTAATGGTAAAAATGTATCAAATCATAATATTTTTTTAATAATAAATGGGTTATCTTTTGAATTAACACCATTTTTTTCTTTATGCGTGTAAATTCCATTAGATAGAAAAAATAAGCAAACATATCGATTAAGACAGACTTTTGAAATACTACTACGAAATTATAATCACCTATGGGATTTTATCATTTTTAATTTAATAAATAATAATTATAAAATTGGAGTAAGCATTTGTTTTGCTACATAGATTTTCCACATTCCTCCACACATTTAGCTGAAATAGGCTTTCAGGATTTCCAGACCAACTATTTCAACAACTAGCACGTTCCGACGACGCTAATTGGGTATTTATTCCACCCGGTAGAAGACCTATCTACGCTTCATGTACACGAACTTAGCCTCCGATTAAAAACAATTGTTCCTAAAACTATTATCAGTTTTCTTACCTGTCTAGTTTAAAAAATATTAAATTTAAAAATAATACAAATAAATTATATAATAAATATCATTTAAATTATATTAACGAT